ATCTGTGATATCAAATCGTTATTATCAGACTATGCTCGACTCATTAATGGCAATGGCACAGTAATAGGGGCCAAATTCATGTACTGTCATAGCCTATAAATTTAGAAGCAGTCCTTAAAGTTACAATCAATTCATGAAATGAGGTCCTATCTTCACCATACAAATTACAACTTTGTTAATCCTGCATTAAAGAGATGGAAGAGGTTTATTTTTCATCTTAAATGGAAATCAAAACAAACTGACCATCTATATATCATCCATATTATTGAAATCTATTCCAGTCACAATAGTTGCTATTCCGGTCCATGAGGTTGTTATTTTGAGAATATTCACTTCTACTTCATATCTGACATAAAATATTTATTTTATTACATCTCTTTAAAATTAGACTGGGATCTCATTATAAACATTAAATTATTCCTTGTTTGTTCATGTGTCCTCAACAGATTGATGTTAAGGATAAGAGCGAAACCTTATTTTAACTGATTAAAAATATTCAGTTAAAAATGTTCGGGTACTGTAATCAAGTTCTCTTGCAACTTTGTTCCAAAACTAATATCTTTCTCTGGCATGTCCATACATTTCTATAATGTCCATATCTACTGGTATTTTGCTTAATAGGTCCATACCACTGAACGAGTAGCCACTGAAGTTGTATTATCAAGATATCATTGGTACACATTAAGGGGTTAAGCCTGGAAGTACCTCTGTTTCTACTTCAGAGAGGCCGTATGAAACTAATCAATTTTCATATTGCTGTAGCAGTGATAAAACTGGAACTTCCCACCACAAACAAAGACAGTACCAAAGCCTCCTCCACACTACATACATATGATGGCAGAATTCAGTATTTCACACACTGTCAAAGAAGAAGTTTGAAAACACATTTTGCTCATGTTATAAATAGGCCAAAAGATTAGGCGTTGCCAATACCACAAGGCATATGACTGTTGCAAGCTGTTCTGACCATGGCAGAGATGTGTCTAGATATTACACAGGGCTGCAGTAGCCTGGAGCAGTATGGAATTATCCAATATGTCTCAGAAATATAGGTTCAAACAGAAAATAACTTGATATTCCGGTATATATTTAGACATAATGTCACATGCTTTTTAAAGAAGCAACTCTGTCTTTAATTCTGGAAGTATGCTGGTGTTTAATGCAAAGATTATATAATTTGTTTTTAAAAAATTAATGTCAATACTGAATAACATATCTAAGTGAGGAAGGGAAGAAGAAACATTTTTCCTCACCAAAATATTTGATATTAAATTTTAGTCAAGTTTGATTGCAACATGAAGATCAAAGCAATATGTACTAATACAACTGTTTTGCTGTGACTGAACTATTTATCGGTGATCTATTATTGTAAAAATGTAATAGAATATTCTTAAGCTTGTTTTAGAATTAATATTAATTTAAATATCAATTACTAGAGGTGTTTGCTAGTACTTGTAAAACGAAGCAGCCCTTCACTGACATTTCCACAAAGCTCAAAAATATTATGCAAACATTTCCAATCCAAAAATGACCTCCAGACTTTTTGCTTTATCAAGACAATGATCAAACAATTATACAATCTCAGGATTGTACAATTAAATTGCAATGCCATGTTTCATAACCCAAGGATGACCTTGACCTTTCAAAGTCACCTACATTTCCCTGTGGTGAAGTTTCTAATGATCCATACAAAGTTTCATGCATGTAGAGATATTTCATAATAATCCAGCCTCAGGGGGTGGAGGACTATAATTTAACATCAACATCATGCTTCAAAACCTGACAACCTCCTAGAGACTTTTTACAGTCAGTACAACCACAAACTGGGGAGTTTCATCTATATTTGTGACTTTTGCCAAAAGGAATTCCCCAAGGCCACTTGTTTATACAGTAGAATACTTTTACATAGCTTGAACAGGCGGATATGGCGAACTGTTCACAAAATCCTGAATAAACCTTATATTATCATATAAAAAAGTGAATAGCGAACTCTGGATATAACAAACTAATTTCGAGTGGCCCCTTGGAGTTTGATATAAAGGGTTATTTTACTGTAGTCAGCGGAAAAGTAAGTAAGATGTAATGTCAATAATCTTTCTAAATATCTCTAAATTTGTTTGAAACATCAAACCAAAATCTTAAAAGCAGGCATTTAAGTGGCAGCAAATTAATCATTATTGAAAAGGAAATAGTTTCCTAAAGAGAATATTTAAAAAAAAAAAAAATCCTGAAATTGACAAAACCAAGTTTGTCTTACAACAAAATGTCCTACCTATTAAAGATTTGCCCACATCTCCTTAAGCTCAAAATTCTCTGCAACATTCACACCTTGCCAGCAGTCTTAGGGGAACAGTTAAACAACCTGGAATAACTGTCTGATTGTTCAGAAATACACCAAAGCCTTCCGTCCAGATGTAGGCAAGATCCATCTGTATGATCTTACTTTCCTCACATGAAAATATCTCACTGACATTGGTCAGTAGTTTAAAGAAAATAGCATTTCAAGTGATGTGCAATAAAATACTGATATGGGACTCACGTGTTACACAGGCTGGAATGAATAATTTCTTGTTCACTTGTATGGTTGAAACAACTAGTAAAACAAACAGTTAACGAGTTTGTCAATACTATAACATAGCTGTACAAATCAATAATTATTGTATGCGACAACGTACAATTGTAAAGACAAAATCAAGAACAGTTATAGTTACTAATATCAAATGTGTTTAATTTATTGAAGGAAATATGACAAGGCTTATTTCATTTGCATCCATATTGCAACATTAAGAGAAAATAGTCTCTTAAATTTACTTACCCACTGAACTGACTGACTGAGTATGGTTTCACCGTTTTTAGCAATATTCCAGCAATATCGCGGTGAGGGGACACCAGAAAAGGGCTTCACAAATTGCACCCATGTGGGGAATCGAACCCAGACCTTTGGCGTGAAGCGAGCAGCTTTAACCACTAGAGCTACCCACGCCCCTTAACCCACTGAAATTTCACATGATTATATATCATGGTTTCAATTTATATCAGTATACATTGAGAAAAGATTCAGTATCCTGAAACTCCATCATAAAAGTATAATATTAAATAATTCCAAGACTAGATTTCTTCTTCTGATCAAGTCAGGATTATATACAATTAGCAAACAAATAATGGTAACTTCAGAAAACAACCGCTACAAGCAAGACCACTAGTTAACTGCGTTCTGGTCGGAATGCTCCCCCTCATATGTCTTGCCAGTAGTCAGTTCCAAATGACATTGAGTATTGCGAGGACATGTGTAAATGCACTACTATCTAAACCACACACCTGTTTCACATCAGGGAACAATGAAAGTGGTCCCAACATGTCAAGATAATGTCAAGATAAGAAATGTTTTCACTTGTTGTGGTAAAGGACAAGATGTATCGACCGCGTGCCTTATAAACCATGGTGAACATGATCCTACCGTCTTCACAGAACCTTCTGTCTGGAGAATAAACTCTCTGCAGGGAATTTCTACTGCATATCCCCAACAAGAATCATACTCTGAAGAAAGTATTCCTGTACTAGGGATTTTCTAAAGAACGTAGCCTGGAGATTTCATTTGCTATTGAACAGAATCTACACAGACAAGTTACAGTGCTATCATAAGGAAATGTACAGATGTTGTGGGATTGTATACTTCCGTGGGATCCACCATGTTTCTCACGTAAATTACAGCCACATGGCTCAACTGTGAGTGAGTGAGTGAGTGAGTTTAGTTTTCGCCCGCTTTTAGCAATATTCCAGCTGTATCCACGGCAGGGGACACCAGAAATGGGCTTCACATATTGTACCCATGTGGGGATTTGAACCGGGTCTTGGTGATGAGCGAAGCAGCTTTTACCACTCACAGCTACCACACCGCCCCCAACTGTAAGAAGTACATATATATATTAGATGCCTGCAAGATATACCGGTATATATTCCTGGAAAACATATTTTTTTAAATGTGACTGAGGTTTGCATGAAAATGTAAAACCATGAGCAAGGGAAAAGCCAAAGATATGTTACTGTTTTGTTTATTCCTCCTGGTAATCCTTGCATAAAGACAGTTCCTAAATTATGTAAAAACCTTCTCTGATCCTTCATAGTGCAACAATACGGTAGTCGTGACATCAAGTTCCATGACACCAAGTGCCCACATGACCACGTCATCAACTCAAGTCATGACATGTAATATTGGACACCTTTCATCACCTGCCGAGGGGGCTCGGTGGGGAAACAAGGATCACAATACTCAACATGGTATGTCAGGTTGGACACCTTTCATCACCTGCCGAGGGGGTTCGGTGGGGAAACAAGGGTCACAATACTCAACATGGTATGTCAGGTTGGACACCTTTCATCACCTGCCGAGGGGGTTCGGTGGGGAAACAAGGGTCACAATACTCAACGTGGTATGTCAGGTTGGACACCTTTCATCACCTGCCGAGGGGGCTCGGTGGGGAAACAAGGATCACAATACTCAACATGGTATGTCAGGTTGGACACCTTTCATCACCTGCCGAGGGGGCTCGGTGGGGAAACAAGGGTCACAATACTCAACATGGTATGTCAGGTTGGACACCTTTCATCTCCCACCAAGGGGGTTCGGTGGGGAAACAAAGGGTCACTCAACACGGTATGTCAGGTTGGACACCTTTCATCACCTGCCGAGGGGGCTCGGTGGGGAAACAAGGGTCACAATACTCAACATGGTATGTCAGGTTGGACACCTTTCATCTCCCACCAAGGGGGTTCCCTGCCTTCATTTAAAATATGGCTGAGAATGCTAAAAAAAAAAAATCAATCTAAATTTGAGAATGAAATTGGTATATCTTTTATCCACAATGAACCTTCCTATGTCCACATAGTAGATACATGGCAGAGATCCACTTGAAATAACAAATAGCAACACACAACATAAGGGTTTCCTGGTTACTGTCAAGTCTGGTGATAACTGTCAATGACAAGATGACTACAAAAAGTGGGTCATCAAACTGGTGGCAGCAAATGTCTGATGACGTTAGTTTCAAACCACACTTCACATCCAAGCATTCAGTAGCTATCATAACTCGTAAGAAAGTAAGATTCTTTATGGATAACAACTTCTTTATTATATTTGATGCGATGTTTCGGTATGGATTCTTATACCGTTGTCAAGCCGCGAGGCACTCTTGCTTGACAACGGGTATATAAATCCATACACCAAACGCATCAAATATAATAAGAAGTTGTTATCCATAATCTGCACTTTACTCCACGAACTTCTATATGTCAATCAAACAGACCATCATAACTCATAAACCAGACAAACAATGTACAATGAAACCATATTAATAAAAAACATGAGGTTCTGCACAACCACTTTTCTCAGTGTCCATACAGTGAAAGGAACATCATGCTGGTTGGTAAATTCAGACACTTGTTGATCAAGGTTATCTGACTGGAAAGCACATAGTCCAGATTAACAGGGTCTCACTGTCCACATTAACAGGGTCTCACTGTGCTTAAACTGTAGATCAACGGCATAGTTATGTCGGTAGACTAAAGGGTGCAGTTGGGTACAGGAAACTAAATTTACTTACCCGGTACATCAAATGAGACAATTTTAATTAAAGAAATTCCCCACTTTTCTGATCTCCGATAATAAACTTCAATTAGTTTCTCCATGGCTGGCACACCAGTATTTGTTAGCTTTACTACAACAACATGAATCGCTGTGTTTAAATGATACAGTTCATCACATAAGCACTATTTCCTGAGGAGGAGAAATGACTCCATATGCTGCCACAGTCACATTACTCTCTGTGATAAGCCGATGATAAAACAACAATGAAACATACAATGAATAACACAATGAGGATGAACTTTACTTATTTATCCTACAATGTAGCTGTAGCATCATATCACCAGACTGATAGAAATTACTACTCTGATTCATTGGCATTTGCAAAAATGGTTTAGTTGAGCAAATGTGATACTGCAATTGACTTGCACAATCCGCACATATTAATCACAGGCGTGTCTAGATTTGCCTCAGTTTGAATGCTACAGCTGGCTAACTAATCGGGGTAGAAATATTTCACAGTGTGTCACTGTTTTCAGATTTTGATTCCAACTAGGTCGTACTGAAGACTTCAGAACACTTCTACTCTAAGAGCAATGCGTTACTTTCCTCTTTGCAAAGTGAAAAAGTGATGAGAATTAAATGCTTGGTAAGAGTTCACACATTTGCATAATATTCACACTCTGGTCTTCAAAGAAAACTTCAGGTTCAGCATGAAACATCCACACAGTAAAGTCTTCACACACAAGCACATTTGAGTAATACCACCACGGTAACCAGTTGAGTACATTATGGCAGTATTTTGGCGAAGTATCCATATGATGCACCACTGTAAAGCACTTAGATGAGATGACCTTCCATATGTCAGTCTCCCATCAGACTAGCTCTGGCCGCCGGATTGTAAGTTTCCGTTATCGACCCTACTACTTTCGTAGTGGTCATGTCTGGAGATGACTGGTTTTCACTTGAGTCTGAGTCCGAGTCGGAATCCACCATTCCATTCCGACCATTTGCTCGCTCATTGTCACTCTCATCTTCTTGATACTGCACTGTCCTCCTCCCTTGGTTTCTGGTCTTGATTCTGGATTTTCTTTGTTGTTCGTACACAAAAATATTGTCTTGAACTTTCCGCCGTTCTCTCGCACTATGGCGCACTATTTCTACTTGTTTCTGGATTGACCTGGTGGCCGGTTTTGCTGCTCCACGTTTGGAAGATCTGGATGAGTTCACATAGTCACTGTGCTGTTTGTCATCTTCATCATCGTGGTCATCAGTGCCGCTTCCACTGTTGTTGTTGCTACTACTGCTATCTGATGATGATGTTCTGCCTCTAGGCGACGTGGTTGATGATGTGGTTGCAGAGTTTGATTCTGATTTAGACACTAATGAGCTACTTTCATCAGGCATGTACTTAGCAGGTTTAACTTTGCCCGTGGCGGCCCGTGTTCTGTAAGAAGGTTTGGAGTGACCGTTTGAAACACCCCCTTTACCTGCAACAGAGTGAGGGGAATTGGAGGAAAGGGCAAACATCTATGTAATATCATCTCACACACTGACTGCATCCCATGTAGAAACCACACAATGAGTAATCAAAGAGAATGTATGAGAGAAAGCAATGCTTCTTAAATCTGGAAATTTTATCAACATCACCAGCGGATATCAAGAAAGAGGTCATCTGAATAAGTAACTCTGTCTCAGGACTGAACTGCAAAGAACCAATTTAAGCCTTCATTATTTTGCAAATCTGCACACAAAACCTTTATACATAACCTTAACATCTGAACTGTTCAAAGATTCAAGCAAAACCCAGTTTAAACACAGATGGACACAAATACAGTACACAATGAGTGAGTGAGTGAGTTTAGTTTACGCGCGCAGTCAGTAATATTCCAGCTATATGGCAGCGGTCTGTAAATAATCGAAGTCTGGACCAGACAATCCAGTGATCAACAGCATGAGCATCGATCTGCACAATTGGGAACCGATGACATGTGTCAACCAAGTCCAGCGAAGCCTGACCATCCGATCCCGTTAATTAATGCCTCGTCACGACAAGCAAAATTAAGCCTTTTCGCGGCAAGCATGGGTTGCTGAAGACCTATTCTACCCCAGATCTTCACGGGTCACAGTACACAACTAAAAACATAAGTCCAAATAATAATTTGGATTTAAGCAGAAAATTACTATTTATTTGCCAAGGAACAAAGGAGCTTGTTTATTTTTCCCACACTGAGCATGCAACAACAATCCAACAATCTATTTTCTCTCAATCTGATACTTGTATGTGCTGACAGACACCACAGAGTTAAGCGGTGTGTTAGCATCACTCACTTTTCCCCACCTGATGCCCGGTTTTTGCTCACGCTTTTGCTGGACCTTTCCCCCGTGGTTTTGTAGCTATCTCCTCCTCCTCTTCTTCTTCTTCCCTCCTCCTCCTCCTCCTCAGACTCATCCTGAACCAGGACTTGGCGGTGAGACACTTTCCGTTTGGTCAAGTGCCGAACCTTCCCAACTTCCTCTGCTTCTTCCTCATCATCTTCAACATTCACCTTCTCTTCTTCCCTCTACCTCCGTCTCTTCATCTTCCTCCACTCTCTCCATCACTCCTTATCACCTTCACGGGCTATCAACAAAATAACTGACTTGAGACTTGATACTTGAGCAGAAATGAAAAACATTTAATGCTGGCTACACCTCATGAACAACATAAATGATGCATTGAATGCGGTATACTAATACCTCCTATCAATTGAGTATCACACAAAACTTTACCCACATAAGTTCGCAAGTGAATGTTCAATTGCCATGTATAACTGTCTTTCCATTAAAGCAGGGATGTTGCTGCATTTGCCCCAATATATGAGTGATTTAATTGCAAATACTTCTTCTGTCTAAGTATCTTCCAAAGAAGCATTAAAACAGCTTTGCAGTCAAGTCTTCTTCGTGTTAGTGTGAATCATTGTAGTTGGTTTTGCTACTGTAACTTATTTAACTAGTAGCTTGCCACCATGACATGCAACACAAGATCATGAGTACCTCAATGTGAATACAAGAGGTATTCCTGTGAACTGCAATTACCATTTGAAAGTCTTTTCTTGTCCAAAAAATAGTCTAAATAAATTTTCCTAAACATATATATGATCATATGAGAATTGGCTGTTGAAGCTGGAGTATGCAGTACCTGACACACCCGTGGAAGTGTGGGCAGTTCTCCGGGACCGGGGGTAGGGTGTTGGACCACTGCTGCAAACATCCGCCGGAACCCTCTCCTCGCCACCTCCCTCCGTGGTGACCTCGTCCACTGGACTGGAGGTGTTGCTGAGCTGGCTGAATGACTGCTGGCTGCTGTCAGTCCGGATGACCTGGGGCTCTGTCACGACGGCTTGCTGATGGCAAGTCTCCATTTGTCTGATACTTGTGCAGGGACAATTTGCTGTTGTACAATTGAAATCAAAATTTTGAGAAACTTTTGAAATTGACCATTATCTGCTGATATCATTTTCAATTACAAACTTGTTACAGAGTCCATCTTTTACATGTGCAATCTCTGAAATACTTTTAACCACCACGGGATTCAGTTCCTTTATTACCATGCTACTTACAAAAGCTAGTACACGGATGACCGCATACAAAACAACCTAATTGATATATATTAAGGAAGTATCTTCAGGTGGGCACACTTGAATTCCTAAACGCACTCCTGGAACAAGTGCTATGTGGCAACCATGGCAGAAATGTACATTTCTATCCCTGACATTATTCACCAAGCAGGAAACACGATATCTGGCCCGTTAACAGTCATCATCTTCCCTGACATTCTTCTTCACCATCATCTGATATCTCACAAGTTAACAGTTCTCCAGTTCCCTGACAGTATTCTTCACTGCTGAAACATCGATATCTCAACAGTTAACAGTCATCATCCAGTTCCCTGACATTATTCTTCACTAAGCTGGAAACATCATATCTCAACAGTTAACAGTCATCATCCAGTTCCTGTTATTCTTCTTCACTAAGCAGGAAACACGTATATCTCAACAGTTAACAGTCATCATCCAGTTCTGACTTTATTCACATATGCACTGCTTGATGGTTTATCCAGTTGTCTGCTTTAGTAGTTTCCAGTGGCTGGTAATCTCCCTTGATCTGATCTTTCAAACATGGCTGACAACTGTATCAGAAGGTCATGTGTATATCTGTAATTTCCAAGAAAACTTGTGTCTGTGGAAAACAACTGTCAGTCAGCATGTTGGTAATTCATTCAGTTCTTATACCCTGAAACTAAGTGGTATAATACATCTGCTGTACAGTGTCGAAAACACCAAGTTATATGTTGCTTAATTGCATATGCAAAGATTCAAACCCATGGATTGAGATATTACATCCTGCAGCCAGTTGGCACTGTTGTACAAAGCTATCTCTAGATCGGTGATTGTAACTCGGTGACAGGTGGAAGCTTAGTGCTAAGGGTTGTTTTAGACAACCTCACGTGAATCATCACGCAAAGACAGTAAACTGAGGCATCACCCAGACAATCTTATTTATTCAGGCATCAACTTAAAATATGTGGCTCTTCTTCCTCTCTGATAACATTCAGAGGTCAAACCTAAACTGATACAAATTGATACACACTCTCTTTGAATCAGAGGGTGATTTAAGACCCATCATACAGATGACATCCTAACTTAACGAGAGGGATAAGATTAATAGATTGAATAAACGGGTGAAATTTGTATAATATAACCAGCCATACCATGGTAAGGCACCCAAATTCATACAACAAGTTCAGTTCCATCACATGTAAGCAAGCCTGCCACATCTCTCTCCATCTCACCAAGCTACCTGCCCTCATCTCACCCTAAGCTACCTGCCCACATCTCACCTCAAGCTACCTCCTGCATCTCACAAAGCTCACCTGCCCACATCTGCACAAAGCTACCTGCCCACATCTCACAAAGCTACCTGCCCACATCTCACTGCTACCTGCCCACATCCTCCCAAAGCTGGCTACCTGCTACCTGCCCACATCTCACCAAGCTACCTGCCCACATCTCACTGGGCTACCTGCCCACATCTCACTAAGCACGGGGTTTCCATATCCAACTGCTACTCTGCCCAGACATCTCACTAACCAATGCCTACCACTGAGCTATCACATAGTCTCACCAAGCTATCTCTGCCCACATCTCACAAAGCTACCTGCTCTGGGCTATTCTCTAAGCTACTCTGCCCACATCTCTTGCTGTTCCAAGCTACCTTGCCCACATCTCACCAAGCTACCCTTCTGCCCACATCTCACCAAGCTACTCTACCCACATCTCACCAAGCTACTCTGCCCACATCTCACTGCTACCTGGCCTACATCTCACCAAGCTACCTGCTCCACATCTCACAAAGCTACCTGCCCACATCTCACCACAAGCCAGCCCATCTCACAAAGCTACTTCCGCCCTACATCTCACCAAGCTACTTCCTGCCCCACATCTCACCAAGCTACCTGCCCACATCTCACCAAGCTACCTGGCCCACATCTCACTTTCTGCAACCAGCCCACATCTCACAGCTACCTGCCCACATCTCTCACCAAGCTACCTGCCCACATCTCACAAAACTGCATGCCCACATCTCAATGAAGCTACCTGCCCACATCTCACTTTAAGCTACCTGCCCACATCTCACTTCGGCTTCTGCCCACATCTCACAAAGCTACCTGCCCACATCTTCACTTAAGATACCTGCCCCACATCTCACAAAGCTACCTGCCCACATCTCACAAAGCTACCTGCCCACATCTCTGGCTAAGCCACCTGCCCACATCTCACAAAGCTGGCCTGCCCACATCTCATACCTAAGCTACCTGCCCACATCTCACAAAGCTACCTGCCCACATCTCACCAAGCAACCAGCCCACATCCAAGCTACCTTGCCCACGTTCACAAAGCTACCTGCCCATGATCTCAGGCTTAAGCTGCCCACATCCTCACAAAGCTACCTGCCCACATCTCACCTAATGGCTACCTGCCCACATCTCACAAAGCTACCTGCCTGCATACATCTTATGAAGATACCTGCCCACATCTCACCTGCCCACATCTCACATACCTGCCCACATCTCACCTAAGATACCTGCCCACATCTCACAAGCTACCTGCCCACATCTCACAAAGCTACCTGCCCACATCTCACAAAGCTACCTGCCCACATCTCACCAAGCTCCTGCCCACATCTCACCAAGCTACCTGCCCACATCTCACCAAGCTACCTGCCCACATCTCACAAAGCTACCTAGCCCACATCTCACAAAGCTACCTGCCCACATCTCACAAAGCTACCTGCCCACATCTCACAAAGCTACCTGCCCACATCTCACCAAGCTACCTGCCCACATCTCACAAAGCTACCTGCCCACATCTCACAAAGCTACCTGCCCACATCTCACCAAGCTACCTGCCCACATCTCACCAAGCTACCTGCCCACATCTCACCAAGCTACCTGCCCACATCTCACCAAGCTACCTGCCCACATCTCACCAAGCTACCTGCCCACATCTCACAAAGCTACCTGCCCACATCTCACCAAGCTACCTGCCCACATCTCACCAAGCTACCTGCCCACATCTCACCAAGCTACCTGCCCACATCTCACCAAGCTACCTGCCCACATCTCACGAAGATAACAAGCTGATAAACAAGATAGACATACTCTAGATTTCTTGTTGGTGTTGTAGGACTTTGAATTGATGAAGATGAGTCTGACATCCCGACACAACTCAATTGGGTTTGTATACTGGTCAGTGTCCACCTTCTCCTGCACTTGGCCAAAGTCTATGGGGTTCTCAACAAACTTGTAGTAGTCCTGCATTGCAACAAAGTTTAACTTAGTACACATTTTTATGTAGTCTTACATCACAACAAATTACACTTAGCACCTGTACCTGTCTTTACCTGGTATTCTCACATTGCAACAAATAACATGGAACAATCAGACTTACACAAATAAATATTCCCAACTCAACAAAAAGCATCCTCGATAGTCTCTAGAGTATACATTCCAATAAATCTCCACTATTCCCCTGCATCTATGGCCCGGCCCAATAATTGTATTACCTCCATTTGCTGGCTTTTTATCCAAGCAGGTGTCTACCTTGGGAAGTTGAGCTTACAAATCACAAGGCTTCTATCATAACTCACTTCCGCTTCTTTTCTCTAACCGATTAAACTTGGCAACACAATTGTTGCAGAGGTACCTTGAAAGAGGTAGGAGTTCTTGCACATACATGTATATTTTTTAAGGTTTCAGACATGTCAATTTGTCTGTATGATTTTTTCCCTAAATCTGAGTAGCACAGCCAGC